AAATTGAGACCTGTTCTCTTAATTTTTATATTTAATTTTTACTAATTGCTAGTTGCTTCTTTAAATCTGCAACTTCAGAGTCCAGAGTTTCGCTTCAGTGGTTAATTGTAGAAAATTGATCTCTCAGAGACCTATATCTACTAGTATTTCTAGTAGGATTATGTAACGGGCTTCTAAACGTTGATCTGGGTGAAATTCTGATTTTACTATTTGGTTCGTCTGTCCTTGCCCTATTTGCATATGCCCTATTCTTTCGCAAATAAGCATCTTGTGTTTTGATTTTAAGATTTTTGTTGAAGGATGCTTAATATCTGGAATAAAATTGGTTGTTGGTTATTTCCGGTTGTGACTTGTTTATTTTTACTAAATCTTCTTTCTTCGATTTTGGGCTAGATCTAAAAATGCTTTTCGCTGCTTCATATACCTGGGATGATATTAGTGCTTCATCTAGCATCTGTAATATTTTAATCGGAGAGCCTGTTGCATTTCCACATCCTGTAGTCCATCTTTAAATGCCTGTATTCCAATTTCTTCTAGAAAATGGCTTGCCTACGAGTACGCCAAATGTAATAATAGGCTTTTAGTATTAGCTTTAAATTCTTATAGGCTTTCGTTATGTTTTTAATATAGAACTGTTAGGTGACTTTGGAAAACATGCTTTAGATGCTGCTGGTCAAAGCTTTAACGAGAGAGGTATAACTGAGTGCACCCTGGGGAAGAAATTGCACAACGGTTTCTGCTTGTCCTCAAAGTGACACCACCAAAGAAGCTGTGGCATTTCTTACTCGTTACAGCCATTTAAACTAGTTGCAGCTTCAAATTGAAAACAATAAATTTTCCATACTGTTCGATCATCGAATGTAGGTGGTTTTTAAAATTTTGCTAGTTCTAATTGTACCTAATTCAACTATGGAAGATAATGAACCTGTCTGTTGTGATTCGACATTGGTTACTGAAACAATACTAGATACAGAAGATTGGATAATATTTATTTTTTTGGTTTACCTGTTCTGATAAATCGTTTTGTTGTGTTGTTCTAATTTGTCGTTTCTATTGGTAATTTGACTTACCTCTAACTGAAAATTTTCGTGAATTTGGAATAAACTACTTATCTACGCTTCTTTTAGTTCTTTCTCTTGTCTACGCTTTTCATTTAGCTCTTCCTTTTCTTATCTACGCTTCTGCTTCATCTCCTTACTCTTGTCCTGTTCGTGTTTCTCTTCTTGCCTTTGTTTTTCTTTATCTTCTTTGATTTTTAAAAACCCTGCGGGGGTCCGGACGTATCCATTTCTTCATCAATTTCAGTAGATCTAGTCTTAACCATTAATAATTACTTAAAAGCTACTTTCTGCCATCGCTGTCACTAATGTTACACTTTTCAAATCACTTTATTCAACACTAACTTGTTTACAATATTTTACAGACTGGCAGCTTTAACCCATTCGCTTCCATGTTCCAAATTTGAAACGATTGTTAGTTTCGCTGCTGGTTAGAAGATGTCACTGTTGGTCTTAAATCTGATAAACTATTTTTGTTCGGTAGTGTCAAAACAACACGTCCATACTGAATTTACTCACTGGTTTCGTATAAGTGGCATTTGTTTTGTGATTCATATCAAAATTTCAAGGAAGGTGCAGTTGTATAACTTCTAGTTCGATTATATCTATTTTCTGTTGTGAAATGTTACGATCGGGATAAGTTTAAGCAATATTATATGCCTATACTATGTATCTCAATCGTTTAAATGCTTAACCTCTAATTGAATATACTGCGTAACCTCTAGTTTTTGCATGTTCCAAAAATGAAACTTGGCGGTATATGTTGCTAATTGAGGTTTTTCTTTTTAGTTTAGTATTATGGATGTGAAAACATTTTATGAAAAGAAAACGAGTTGTTCAGCTGATACTCTGAACAATCTAATCGATGATCTAAATAAGAAGCAGAAGGAGTTTGATTCTGCAAACATATACATTTATCCTCCAGCGGAAGATTCTGATGAAGATTCTGAATCATCGGATGATGTAAATTTCAATGATATTTCTGATAAGTTTTCATCAAAGATACTGAACGCCCCAGCTGAGGCAACTCTTATTTCACAATGTGAGATACAAGACGCTGAAAATATGTTCTCAACGAGCGATGATGAACTTCCAATAAATGTGGGTCAATCTAATAAAAGAGCGAATAAATCCAATAGACAAAACGACTGGAAAAGAGGGGACTTGTTCCTAGATAATCATCAAGAAAATATCTCACTTTCAAATCGAAATAATGTTCACTGTGAAAGTGCAGTCGATTTCTTTACACTTTTTTGGTGTGATAATTTCTTTGAATACATAAAAGACAAGACTATAAAGTATGCCCGACACAAAAATGCAAACACATAATTTGAGGTTACGATTGAAGAACTCAAAGTATTCTTTGCAATCCTACTGATTTCTGGTTATTCCCAAAGGCCTTGGAAAGATATGTACTGGAGTTTGGATTTGGATCTCAGAAACTAAGCAATCGCCAACGCAATGCCGAGAAATAGGTTTAGAGAAATTTAGATGACACTAAGCTACAAAAAAATGATGTTTCCTAAAATAAGACCACTCATAGAACATTTAAACAGTTCATTTATAAAATGTGCCGGTTGCTGAAACCATATCAGTATCTGTTGATGAATCCATGGTACCGTACTACAGCCATCATAGCTGTAAACAGCGTATTCAAGGGAAACCTATTAGATATGGGTTTAAATTTTGGTCTCAGAATGTATCAAATGGTTATCTTGTGGCTACCGAACCTTACCAAGGGAAAGGAACCTTACTAGGAGAAAGTAATTTGGGGCTAGGTGGTTTTGCAGTTACAACTTTTGCCGAGAGGGTGAAGCATAATTTTCCAGATCAAAAATTTTACTTTTTTATTGACAACTTTTTTACCGGACTTCCACTGATAAAGGCCATGAGTGAATTGGGATATGGTTGCACGCGCATCATTAGACATAATAGAATTGGGAAATGCGCGTTGAATAAAAACGCAATAAAAAAATCAGTTAGAGGATCCGCTGATTCATACACAAGTTCTGATGAAGATATAATAATTATCCAGTGGAAGGATAATGCCATCGTTCACGTGGCTTCAAATTGTTATGGCGTTCAACCTACAAAATCGGTACGTCGTTATTCTGCAGCAGAAAAAATATATAATGGTAGACGTTCCCTACGCAATTCAGCAGTATAATACTCATATGGGAGGTACTGATTTAATGGATAGAAATCTCGCTAACTATAGGCCAAAACTGCGTAACAATAAATGGTGGTGGCAAATTTTTGTTCACCTTTTGTCTGCTTCAATCTCTAACGCATGAATTTTATATAGAATTCAACATCACAATAACGTTTAATCTAACGCTGATGAATTCGTTGAAAGTATGCGTCCATTGAAGAAATAAAAAGAAAAAGAAAGTTAGCTTGGGCAGCATTCGGTAAACTGAACTATATACTCAGAAATCAACAAATTCAATAACATCTTAGATCTAAAGTTTTTGATGCATGCATTATTCCGATATTAACTTATGCGGCACAAACATGTACAATCACAAAAAAGAATATGAATATACTTAGAGTCACTCAACACGCAATGGAAAGAGCAATGCTAGGTATATCACTTAAGGACAAGAAAACAAACACATGGATAAGACAGAAAACCAAAGTCACTGATGTGGTGCAAAAATCATTAAAGTTGAAATGGGAATACGCTGGACATGTAGCTAGGAGCGATCTAAACAAATGGCACAGATCAATTTTAACCTGGAGACCATACCAACACAAAAGACAAAGAGGCAGACCTTCTATGAGATGGACAGATGATCTGAAAAGGACTGCCGGGAAAAATTGGCTACAAGTAGCATGCAATAAAAAACAATGGAAAGGAAGACTTGAAGAGGCTTATGTTCAGATGTGGACGTGAATGGCTAGATGAAGAAGAAAAAGAAGATGCGTCAATTGGATTTATTAGGGTTTACATGAAGCATTGTGGCAACATATCTACACCCTCAAAAACCAAAACCTGATAGGACAAAATTAGGAACATTATTTCGAAAAATTCCACTATCTGTTTCACAAAATATGTCGGTTCTGCATTACCCAATTTCTTTAAAACAAAAAAGATGCAAAATTTGTAAAACAAACAAAACTTTTGGATGCGGTATTTGTAAAATTAATGTACATGTAATCCTATTAATTGCTTCAAATCTTTTCATGAAAAAAATTAATAGATCCTCTCAAAATGTTACCATTTTTTTATCAATAAATGCTAAGTTTAAATTGATGTTGTTGATTTTTTAATACCTATTTATGGCCATGTTCCAAAATTGGAACAAAAAATTGTTTAGATACAGGGCTATTGTAAGAAGATTAAGAATTTTTTAAATATTTTTCTATAAGTTCAGAACATAAAATTGACCTGTAGAAGCTATAAAATTAAAAAAAAAAGAAGTTTGGCACCGAATGGGTTGAACTCGTTAAACTTGAAAACTTTTTTTTGTTTGTCAAGGGTTCTATGTGGGATAAATTTTACGAAACTTTTATAACAGTATACACGAATGTATACTTTCAACACGATAGCGCACTTCTATTATTATATTATTATAGATATGTTAGGCAATATCTAAATACCATATCGTATCTCACAATTTCATCATTGTAAGTATATTCATTTCAAAAATAGCATTTTGTTGTCAGACTTGTGTATGAAATGTAGAAATGTCACGTTGGTGTTATTTTGATAACTTTTAATATTCCTATTTTAAACAATTGTTTTGTTTTCTAAATAAACAGTTGCATTTTAAATTGCAATTATTGGTTTTAAATTTTTAATGACGTATATAATTTTCACTACATCACCAAGCGTTTTGTGAAAATACCTCGTGTATTGACAAACTTCAATAAAACAATAAAAACAACAACGCGCCAACTTTTATATGGCACCGAAAGTATTAAATAGGTACTACTTACCAACTGGTATCGTAAGATTAACTAGAATTTTAATGATAGTGTCAATGATTTTTGTTGAATCAGTGATTTTAGCATCGTTTTTGACATGAATCAATAGTGGGATGAGATTTTTTCTGATATTCTGTCCAAAACCAATTGCTCTCCGAAAAGTTCTTAAGGAACAATCTTCTGAAGCTAGCTTACGTAGAATTTCCTCCAGTATAGCTAAAACAAACCAAATAGTAATTTAGACCCTAAATTTAAACACATAAAAATCAATAAAATTTACATGGTTTTCCCAAGAATATTAAATTAAAATTACCCCGACTACCATATTGTGAGCTAGACTCGTATGGTTTGAACAAGAAAGGAGTTTACGCTAATTATGTGAAAATTGTAGAAGGCGTGCATGATGGAATAATAACTGTTGTTAGAACAGTCTTTTTTGATGTGGTGTGTTTTTTATACTTATTTTTTATACTAATGTTAGGCGTGGCTAAGAGTTATGCCCAAAAAATATGAATATAATGAGACTCAAACAGGACAAAACATATCCGGAAATGAAATTTAAAATAAAGGAGAACGTAAAAAAGTCACAGAAATAGCGCCGAACTTTTAATTATTGACCATAAATATAAAAAAAATCAACATACTCTTGTCTCAATTAGAAAAGAAATCTTTAAAGCACTTGAAAAAAACGGCAAACCTAGGATGCCAGCGGAAATATTTGAACTTTAAAAAAAAGAAAGAACGGGTTAAGTGTGCGATACTGCAGACTAGCACGAAGCTTTACATTAATCAACATTTACATCATTTTGGTAACTGAATTAATGTTCCAAGGTACAAACCTATGATGTCCAAGGTACAAGACCAAATTGTACCTCGGTCCATTCTACACCAAATAAAAAATGATTAAATTTATGTTTTAAACATATTTGTTTAAACCTTTTAAATACATTGGTGCTTAAGAAACATATTGCTAATTTGCTATGTTAAATCCCAACTCCATACGTTAAATAGTAAAATAGTTACAGGTTAATAAAAAAAGTGTCCAAGGTACAACACTCTCCTCTAATTATGGTCAGTTTTGACATTTTGTATACTTAATGAACTGTCGAACTGAATAATTGAATACCTGTTAGGTACACAAATGAACTCTTGCGTTGTGCCTGTATAAAAAGTATGAAAATGTTTTACTAATAACTCTTTTTATCGCACTTAAATACAATAGTCGAAAAAATGTAATATTGTATTTTGTAAATATCACTTGATAGTAAATTTTATTATTATATAAACTAAATAAGATGTTTAAAAATAGTTTCTCATAAAACTGTTTGAGATATTATGGAATAGAAATTTCATGTTAACTTACCCAAACAATCCTCGCTGATGATAATGTTGTCTCCATTTTGCACAAATAAAGAGGAAAACGTACTGTGAATGGGATTTGAAGTCATAACCCATGCCATACCTAAATTGATCTAGGCTCATTGACCCTGCAACAAAAATTATATATATATATATATATATATATATATATATATATATATATATATATATATATATATACATTAAGTGATAGAAAAAAACACCCAGTATTATTGAATTTATTAGAATAACTTTTTGTACATGTCTTTAAGGGTTAGTTCAATATAGTTAAGTTAGTTAAGTATTCCTATTGAAATGATTGATTTCCTCCTGTAGTATCTCATCTCTAGCTACTTGTATTTCGTGCAATATAGAAACTGTGGTTGATGAGGGAAATGGAGGTATCTTGTCACAATGTTCCAGACATTTTCAATGGTTGAAAGATCGGGAGATCTAGGGGGCCAAGGCAACAAATTGACTTAATGGTCCCATAAAGACAAAACCTACATTACATACATTATGTATATATATATATATATATATATATATATATATATATATATATATATCTATATATATATATATATATATATATATATATATATATATAGATATATACAGAGTAATTTTTGGTAGTTCTAATTGGACATTTTAAGAGAAACCTGAATTCATAATATCTGAATATTTAGTATGTGGGGATATGCCCAATTGTTCTAAAATATTTAGAGCCTCCTCCCACTTCTGATTATACTGAACGTTGACTGAAACTTCCTTATTTTAAATATACCGAGTTTTTTACGAGATATAACTAATTTTATTTTGAAGCAGTAGTGTTAGATTTGACCTCCAAAGATAGTAAACATTTTGTTTAGTACAAATTTTTTTAATCATTGTCTATTTGCTTGGCATGGTACTTGCTCTATATCTATCACGGTGCTAGGCTTTTCGTATATTGATTCAGAAGCAAATCTACAATGACTAGAACCATTGAAACTACCAAAGTTATGTCGACATTAAAACATTTAACATAGAGAGCACACAGCAAAGCATATATTTAAAATAAAAAAAAACTATAATTTTTATAGTAAGAAATGAAATAAAAGTCATTCATATATAGCCAGTAGTATATCTGTTTGAGTTCCATACCCCATGTTCTCCCAATTTAACACGTTAATTATTTTTATCAAATGGGCGTACAATGTAAGCCACGTATCTACTATTAGTGCTAGATATTTGATCTCATTCGCCTTTTTGGCAGTTTTTCCATACATAGTGGGCATCCTGAGATACTTACAGAATGGCTGCTATCGACCTTTGTTCCGCTACCGAAAACCAAGAACCCCAAACACTGTAATGACTATAGACTATTCAGCTTAATGTCACACTTATTAAAAACATTTTTAAAGATTATACGTGCAAGAATATTTAGAAAGAGCGAAGCGGATATGAGTAATAGACAGTTTGGCTTTCGTAACGACTTCGGAACAGTGGAAACTCTGTATAGTTTCACAGCTCCTGACAAAAATGTCGAAACCAACAAAAAGATCTTTTCGTCGAGTTTATAGACTATGAGAAAGCTTTCGACAAAGTTAAACAGAACATTCTTATGGAATGTCTATAGAGAAAAGGACTCGACAAAAATGACATTTGACATTAACATAGTGAGAAATCTCTATTGAAACCAACAGGATGTGGTAACATTAGATGGATGTACAACAGATAAGTAGAGGAATGAGACAGGGCACTGACTTTTACCATCACTATTTAATATATATTCCGAAGAGTTATTTACCCAAGCACTTGAGAACTGTACAGAAGGAATCACGGTAAATGGTGGAAATATAATAACATCCGTTATGCTGACGATACAGTCATAATCGCTGAAAGTAAGACAGACCTGCAGACGTTACTAAACACAATTTGTGATAGTAAACACAATGTTTTAGAGGCTATAACTTCGTTTTTTAATACCATTTATACCAGCGGACAACTACCTAATGGTTGGTCTAGTTCACTGTTTATAGCTCTACCTAAGAAGAAAACAGCAAAAAACTGTGCTGATTATAGAACCATCAGTTTGTTAAACCACTTATTGAAATTTTTTCTCAAGGTAATACATGGTCGTATCTACAATAAATGAGAGGAATACCTGGATGGCACTCAGTATGGTTTCCGTAACGGGTTTGGAACGAGAGAGGCACTGTTTGGAATTAACGTACTTGCTCAAAGATGTCGTGATATATCTTTAGACATAAAATGTTGTTTTATTGACTTCTAAAAGGCATTTGATCGAGTTAAGCACTCTATATTGATCGAAGCTCTAAAAGACATTGGCTTGGACGGCAGAGATGTTCGAATAATTGCAAATTTATATTGGAATTAAACAACATCAGTTTTAGTAGCTGGTATGGAATCACAGGGTCTCAATTTTAAAAGAGGAGTACGGCTGGGATCTGCAAACACTACTTGATAGTGTCGTTGACAGTTGTAGGGAGACAGGTCTGGATCTTAACATACGGAAAACCAAAATACTCGTAATAAGTAAACAACAGCATATAAAACCGTCTATATATGTAAATAATACCAAACTTGAGCAAGTTGATAAAATCGTTTACCTTAGACAGCAATTAAATTATAACGCAGAACGTCATGGCGAAATTAGATCTAGAATAGAGCAGCCTAGAGCTGCTTTTAGAAGAATGTCCAAGGTGTTATGTAACAGAGACCTAAAATTGGCATTGAGGATCCACCTACTTCGCTGCTACGTATTCTCGGTCTTACTTTATGGTATCGAGTCCTGGACTGTGAATAAAATCGATCTAAATCGCCTTGAGGCTTTCGAAATATGGTGCTACAGAAGAATTTTAAAAGTTTCCTGGGTGGAGAAGATTCGAAACTCTACAATACTAGAACGTCTCAGCAAGACTACTGAGATCATAAAAAGTATCAAGCAGAGAAAGCTGGAATATTTCGGACATGTAATGAGAGGTCCCAAATATAGGTTGCTACAAAATATCACGCAAGGAAAAATAGCAGGCAAACGCACTCCAGGACGAAGAAGAACCTCATGGTTGAAGAACTTGCGAGATTAGTATGGTGTTGATACAAGCATGCTATTTAGGGTGGCAGTGAATAAAATTAAGACAGCTATGATGGTAACAAACGTTCTGAAAGGACATGGTACATGAAGAAGAAGGGGAACAATTTTGATTAACAATAAACATAAAGAAAACAAAAACCATGGTTATCAGTAAGGGGAGCAAAGTCATTACAAGGATCCAGATAAAAAAATAAAGATATTGAGCAAGTAGATAAAATGAAATATTTAGGAGTCTGGATTACGAAAGATCTGAATCCGAAATTAGAAATTCGCTCAGGAATAGAGCAATCAAGAGCAGCGTTTTTGAAGATGAGGAAATTTCTGAGTAACCAAGGACTCAATCTGCAAATCTGATATCGGATGGTACATGTTATATCTGTTACCAGCAAAGTCCTAAATTGGACAATCTTAGCATTGTACGGAAATTGTTGTCCACTTTTAGCATTGTACCCCCCAACTGTACAATGTCTGAAATGAGCAAAATTAAAAATGATTATCGAAACAATCATCGATTTTATAATCGATTATTATTGACAAGCGACACACCAAATCAAAAAATTTGATATTATATATTTATATATAGGGTTGTTCTTTTTCAAATCGACAATGTGATAAAATGTTGTGTCGTTATTAAAATGCGAAAGATAGTATATTTGGGGCACATACTTAGAAATGATATGTACGATATGTTGCAGCTGATTATGAAGGGTAAAATCGAAGGAAAAAATGTACAGGTAGACGACAAATATCCTGGCTGAAAAACATTCGCGACTGGACCGGGTTAAACACAAAGCAAACTGGACAAAATTTGTAATGGTTATAACCAACCTTCATTAGTAGAGACGGCAATAGAAGAAAAAGTGGGCATCCAGATGTCATCTAGGTTCCATCTCCTTGTGAAACTAAGTAATACTGTTAACCCATTCGATAAATAAACATTAGGTATTATAAAGTATTTTTAATTTAAAAATTACAGAAAAGGTGTCAGCGTTACTTGTAAGCTGTGTTAAAGTTCTCAAAAAAATTAAATGTGTAAACTGCTGCTCCATGTATGTTTATATCAAGGTTACAGCATTAATAATTTTTGCCAAATGATCGTAAATGATTAATTTCTAAGAAAATATTTTCTTTTGTAATTTTAAAAATATTCAGTATGTATAAATGAAAATATTCAAAAAAATATAAATATAAATATATTATAATAAATATGAATCATTCCGTATATATCCGTATATTGTGCTTGTATAAAAAAGTGGGCCCCTTGTTGTTGCTTACTAGAAAAAGTTAACGGTGTATTTTCCTATTAATTGAATTGTAACCAGTTAATATTCACTTTTATAAACTCATTCCTCCACGTGAAATAAATCAGTTATTATCATATCACGTTTCTTAGTTAAATGCTGGAATTATAAAACCAATTCAATTGACCTTTGTTCATGATACAATAAAGGCATTTGAATTTCAAATATTGCTAGGATTTTGTATTATGTTTTGGAGACGTAACTAAGGTTTAAATGTACAGAGTGTATCAAGCTCAAGATTTTCACCGCCGGGGTAAACAAATAACAATTTTAAAAATTACTAACTATTAAACAAATATATAATTCTACAAACGTGTACAAGGTGTCTCAAATAGGACAATAATAATAGACTTAGGGCTAAAAATGCCAATTGGACTTCGTTCCAGGCACACTTTCATATGCTAAAACAGCCAATGTCAAATTCAATAAGAAAACTGTAATATTAGTGTAATGGTGGCCATATTGAAATAATTCATATTAGTTTCGGTGAGAAGGGCCGATTATGACAGTAATCCTTTTATCGATTAGTATCAATTATTGCTTAGTGAAAGATTCAGTGGGGTAATGCATACATTTGCCCTTCTAGATTCAACTGACATATCTACTGTAATATTAAAGTAGTAAAGAAGAGGTATCTTATATTGTGATAAATATAGCGATCCAAAAATATTAGAAGTATCAAAAAATATTTTATTGCAATAAATAATTGTTTTTAAGGACACGATAA